TGTTTGTGTGAGCTGATGGAGTCAAACGGGATAGCTGTATAATTGACAGTCACTTCTACTGGTACATTTTATAAATCATTGCATGAAACTGTGATAAATTGTATTTGAAAGGAAACGGAAAAGATCACAGGGTGTGCCTATGCATAACTATTATGACAAGATAACAGATGCATGTGTCTGTGTAGTCGACGGTGCAACAGTCGAGGTATACATGAACACTATATATACTGTGTAGTTCTATAACATCCAGGTTTCTAACGAAAGTTTCCCTGGTATCGGACCACTGCTTTCCGCCTCCTCTGGGGCAGGGTAAACATTGGGGTGCCCTCGGGGCACAACTTGGACATACCCTGTACGACAGTCTCACGTATTTGTGTTTCTTACTGGTGTGAGGAGCTGCGTCACGTGAACGATGGACGGATGAGCGAGACGAGACACCGAGTCTAGCAGGGACACGTGACTTCTTAACTCTATCACTCCCACAACACACGGGTGTGAACATGGCCACTTACCGTGTTTTACAATTGAATACTACTGTTTCTATAAGAGCAATCAATAATACCCATCTTCTTTTGTTCTACGACCATGTGCGTATTGTACACCTGCATGGCCCGTAACCATAGAGGCCTCGCCGAAGCCCCTCCATACCACCTACATCATGCCACTGGCTGTTGTTCCCAGTGATCCGCTCCGGATCATGCGTGAGCTGGAATATAACTATATGCGTCAAAGATGCGTGATAAGTGCGCAATGATATGTGTCAAGAGCGAGCAAGAGGGTGATTATTTAACTATGTGTTATATCTAATAAGTAATGAGCGCAGAGGGAGGCGGCAGCTGTTATAACTTCGAGCGACGAAGCGATACCTCGAACGCCGATCTTGAGGTCATTATTTACTTTACACCATAAGGTCAAGCCTTTCACATGTATTTGTAATGTGTGTTGACTGGCTCTTGATGTGAAAATAACTATTTACATTGGAAGAAAGGAATAGTTCGTGGAAATGGTGTATTGCATATTTCGAAGGACATGCATACCCTTTTTCACGAACACCTGGTGTCATAACTGATTTCAATGATCTTTTCATATAATATTTCATCGCTATTTTGCCTTACGCCCAACGGTATGTTTCTGCCATATGATCGAGATCGCTGGTGCTAATAGTGTACATGCAAACACAGGTCTTCAGCACCCACTAACGGGATCGGGTGGTCAGGCTCGCTGACTTGGTTGATGTCATCGTATCCAAAATAATGTCAATCACTGGATTGTCTGGTCCATACTCGGTTATTGACAGACTTTATATAGCTGGAATATTGCCGAGTGTGGCATTAAACAACAAACACATAAAAACCTCAATACGGAAGAGGCAGTCATATTGCCGACATTGCCGTATTATGTAACATATCAGTGCATATCTAGCATATTGTAGGGCCTGCAGTCGACTGAGTGATGCAGCGGTGGATTTATACTTCAAGAGGAGACTTAGTGACAACGGTACCCGTATTGCACCTTCCCAAACTTCTCGTGGTCAGTGTAAGGCATATATATATGTGTTCTCAAACACCGACAAACATTGTTGGAACACATGTGCGCAAGATGGCCAACATCCAACAGTTGCACGCGGCATTATATGACACCACGCATGACACTCAGAACGTGTCACGTGCTGCGTGGGGGCGGTCGGGTAGCCTAGTGGATAAAGCGTTCGCTCGTCACGTCGAAGACCCTGGTTCGATTTCCGACATGGGTACAATGTGTGAAGCCCATTTCTGGTGTCCCCCGCCGTGATATTGCTGGAATATTGCTAAAAGCGGCGTAAAGCCATACTCACTCACTCACGTGCATGTGTGCTGTATTGCTGAAAATCTGCAGCTCGAACCTCCAAAAGATTAGTTGTTTACCCCTTTAACAATAGTGTGTGAGTGAGTATGGTTTTACGCCGCTTTTAGCAATATTTTAATATATAGGATAAATGTTTGTGTGTGTACAAAGTAATTTTGTGCTACATATCAGAAACATAATATTACTAAAGCAATAAACAGACATGTTTACGTTCTTTTATAAAGACAATATTGACACAAATCAATAATACTGAGAAAGAGTTTTGACCGATAGCAGGTCGGAGATAGTTCAAGGGAGCGACATGATTATGCTGTATTGCATTGTCTGTCACTCAAACTGTAACATGGAAATGTTTCACCAAAATTGGTGGCGATTATGTAGCACAGTCGGTGTATAGAGACTTTGAAAATTGGAAACATACTATAGGTAGGTTATCTGATAACCACCGAACCACGTGGTTATCGGGATACGTGAACCTCGACCAACAAAAGAGATGGCCATTCCGTGTGGCGGGCACTGTGATAACTCGATAACTTCAATACGGGATGCATTTCGTCACAAATGGCACGATAACATATATCATGATAACATTCGCTTCGCCGATATAAACTTACCTGCGTCGTTTAATTGTTCAATGTATTCCGCTGTACACGGTATAGTTGTAGTTTGTTTTGTTTGTATGTTTGTGTGTTTGTTGTTTATCGCCGCACTCAGCAAAAGTCCAGCTATATGACGGCGGTCTGTAATCGAGTCTGATCAGACAATTCAGTGATTGACATCATGAGCATCGCACCACGGAATTGCGATACGATGACATGCATCAACCATGTCAGCCAGCTTGGACCAGATACCATGCCGCAGTTTAACATGGATGCCCCACTCAGACACAGTACGCTGACTCCGAGCCGACCCGTCCTTGTTTTATCCCTTTAATGTTGAGCGCCAGGCAGGGCAACAACAAGTTATGAAATGATGACATACTGAGACATACAATTGGTGTAAATCGATGCATTGATCAATAATCTCTTCTACTCCTTGTTAAACTACGTAATGCAAGTCCATTGTATTATTCTGACTTCGACAGTGGGATACAAGGTATCGTTAGTCAGTAGGACACTCACTCACCTATTTTTGACATGTTACGACTTGTCCCCAAATATGATTTGTCCGACGAAATTAACATAGTCAATTCACACTTTATGAAAAAGATGGTAGTCAAGCCTGCAAAGGAAAGCATAAACCTTCAAGAAAAAATGTTCTTTAACAATGCTCTTTTGGTAAGATTATCTCGAACTTCACGTGCAGTGTCAGCGTGTCGTCGGCAAACGTTACGTCCCGCTGAAAATCAACATAACGCCAACCCGCGAAACGACAAGTGGATTTATATTTAACGAAGAAGTCAGAAATCTGTGGTGTATCGGTGCCTCCAGAGACAGGGGATGTCTTTGACCATAAAAGTTGACCTTTTGTGTGTTAATTGCAGGGAAAGTAATCCGGTGGAGGACAAAAGCCGGATTCACTCAGTGGATTATCAACGAGGAGTCATAAAACGTAACGCTTGAACGGAGGAGTCATTCTTTTGTTTAATTGTGGGGATAACAAGCAGCGTTGTAAATATTAGATGTGTGATGTGATAGCAGGTCACGACTCCAGACCGAATGTCTGGGCTTATTTAAAACGGTTGCATATACAACAGCAAAGAAAAGTTCTTCTAACGGTAGTCTCATTCGTTGACAGGCACGGCCAGTGATGGTGTTGGAGTATATTGTATATTTGACACAAATGGTGGAATGAGTTTGTAATGAACACCGAACTAAGTTGAACAAATATTGTGTTCGATCCTATTCTCTTGTAGGTTTTGCATTTGTTTAATGATCAATCAGTTCCTCATTTTTAAGCAGAATGCAGGGAGATTGAGATCTTTTTTTTCAGTAGGTATTGTTTTGATAATAACATACACATACCGTGTATTTATTTCCCTTATAGTTTAAGGACTCTCTCTCTCTCTTTTGTTCAACTTCATGAATGTTTTTCACACGGGCACAGATGAAAGGGACATCCTATGCGGATACAAAAAAAAGCGATTAAGTGTTTAACAGAAATGGAATCTGTCCGCGAATCACATATAAAGTGATGAGGAAGTACGCCAACAGCTGAGCCGGCCTATATGTTCATGTTATAGAGGTAGGCGTTATATCTACACATAATTATATTGAAATCATTGTATTTATACTACTCGTAGGTATTAATTAATGAAGCACGTGTCTCACCACGTTCAGGTTTGTTTGTGGCAGTAGAACACGTTTGCTATTGATTTATCACCCTGCCATGCGTGGCGATATCTCACGTGATATAGCTGATCTCATCCCTTACCTTCACTTGTGTGAACAGCAACATAAATATTTTAAGTCAAAAGCCATAACTATGGTTATCGACAAAAAGAATTAATCAATATAAAAATCGACCTACATCCGTGCAATTGTGTTCGTAATAGACAAGCTGAGTGTTTGCCGCCCCCCCCCCCCCCCCCCTCCCGAAACATTCCATAATGCATAACGTTGTCAATACTGTTTTCATGTGCCGCTCCCTCCCACACCTCGCCCCCTCCCTTGCAACGCTCTATCCGCGAACCCGGGAGCCACCTTGGACCCAACAGGTTGCTTAGCCGTAATCTCCCGTTCTCGTGCCATGCTGCTTTTCATCGCTGTAGAGACATTTTCCCACGGCCAAACACAAAGCGATCTCGCATTCCGATGAACGACGGTGTATGCGAGCCGTATCGCAGTCGCGGGCCAGCACACAAACGCATTGTGTTCAAGTATGCCTTATCGCAACCAGTGTTTACATAACAATTCGACCATTAAGGGAGAGAGACGAGGGGCGTGGTTTTCCCACACTGCTTCCAAACCACAACATAATCCGCCTGGCACGTGCGACTGTTTAGTTGACGTCCGGTGTGTCGCTTGATTGACGGCTGTAATGAACATCCACGAGAACATCTGGCTCTTAGCCAATCAGCGCACGACGGTCACAAGCCTTGCGGCTCGTCTCGTGCGGTCGTTCGCGAGCTTGCTGCTGATTGGCTGGAGCTCACCCGGTTCAGAGCGTGGGAAAGGGCTGAATCGTGTCTTCACATCAACTGCGGGCATGTGTCATGGGGTATAAATACGGAAATTCCTCCACAGGTTGTTATTTCTCGGCGACATTCCGTCATAGCACACTTACTTCGATTTTGTTCCCGAATCATTACCCCATATCACACGATGGCTGATACTGTCGTATCTTCTCAGAGGAAGGACCCTTCTATCAGAAAGGTGAGTTGTCAATATTCGTTCTTCTTTTCTTTCATCCATGTAAACACCTGTTGAATGTGAGTTCACTTTTAAAACGATGAGGTTTTCCACAGACTTATAAATTTGAACAGGATTAATGATTGACAACATGAAGAAAGAAATCTATCGATTCCAAACTGTTTTTCTTCATTGTTTTCAAACTTCATTGATTCTTGGCGAGCCAGTTTCATCTTGTTTGTTCTGCGTGTCATTTGTTTATGTTTCCACTTTAACTTACAATGTGTCATTTGTATTACAGAGCAACAAACCATTGATGGAAAAGAAACGAAGAGCTAGAATCAATAATTGTCTGGGGCAGCTGAAGACACTGACACTACAAGCACTTAAAAAAGATGTAAGTATCAATGATGATGATATCTATCTCTCCACACACACACACACACACACACACACACACACACACACACACACACATGTATATATATTATATATATATATATATATATATATATGTGTGTGTGTAGGTGTGTGTATGATACATATTAACTATTTAAACTGCATATTGTTCTTAAACTGTAAACATGAAATCGTTTATTATTTTGAACTAAATTTTTTAAAATATATCAGTACATGTACTTATTGTCTCTTTTCACATTTTCAGAGCTCGCAATTTTCCAAGTTGGAGAAAGCTGACATTTTGGAATTGACTGTTAAACATCTGCGAAACTTACAACGTCAACAGATTTCGGGTTCCATGGCAACAGATACCTCAGTGATGGGCAAATACAGAGCTGGCTTCAATGAATGCGCAAACGAAGTGATGCGTTATTTGAGTTCCAGTCACGACATCAACGGTGATGTACGAAGTCAGCTGATCAACCACCTCGCCAACTGTCTCCAAGCAGTCAACAGTGTCCAGACACCAGACGCGATACACCAAAGATGTCTCCAGCCAATCAGTGTCCAGATCCCATCTTCCGGGCAGGCATCCCACAACACACCTCCGTCCATGTCGGCAGCAGCAGCATCTCACCCACAGACACCTGTTGCATCCACACAGATCATCCCGTCTCCAACATCCACCCCATCCTCCAGCCCCGTCCAGCAACTGTCTGGGGCCTTTCATATTATGCCAGGGAACATGTGCAACGGAAGCGCTGTGGCTGTGTATCTAGGCAACCAGAACTCGCACTCTGTGCCTGTGTACTCTCTCCACGTTCCACAGACAGACAGCGGTGTGACCACATTTGTGCCTTCTCCGACTGGGTCCTCCCAATCACTCAACTCACCAACACAACTTTTCTACAGTGAACGAAAACACAGTGACTCTCGTTTCACCCCTTACTCAACAAGCCCTGTGTGTTCCCCCTCGCCATCGAAACTGAAGGAGGAGTGTGTGTGGCGACCATGGTAGATTGCCTACTGTGGTCAGGTTATCACAAAGTGCCTACAAACTCTTGGATTTACACCATTGACTATTCAGTGCCATGACATCTCATTCCAATCTTCTGGACTTTCCACTTTTGTTGAAGCATGACTGTGCTGGTCCCTGCGAGTTTGACTGCAGGCGACGCCATGGCCCTCTCCCGACGGCCACGTTATTTCATGCTATTGTTCAGTGAACATTAATAGCTTGGTGCATATGACAGTATTTTTTACATTTACTGTTTTGTTATTAAAAATGAAAACTAAATTATGTGGTCTTGTTGTCATGTTAAATGCGTGATCCATCGCTTTGTCACGTCTGTGGGTATCACAACATACATGCAGGGTCCATTGCTATGTCACGTCTATGGATGTCACTACATACATGCAGGGTCCATCTCTATGTCACGTCTGTGGGTATCACAACATACATGCAGGGTCCATTGCTATGTCACGTCTATGGATGTCACTACATACATGCAGGGTCCATCGCTATGTCACGTCTATGGATGTCACTACATACATGCAGGGTCCATCGCTATGTCACGTCTATGGATGTCACTACATACATGCAGGGTCCTCTCATACTGCCACACCCTTGGTCCATCATTGCATTGGTAACGCCAATAAGAGGCGTGTCCTTGGTTAACGCTACAAGCATGACAAGGTCGGTAATAAATGCGACATTACGTCACGACATCTAGAAACGTGTGTGCATACCCTAACCGTGACCAGGGGAGGGGAGGGGCAGTTGTTGTGACGTGCATATCGGCAGGGAGTGCGATCGGGTTGCCAACATTGTATTCAAATCCGGATGTTCTATCGAATTGATAACCATTAACTGCACTAGAGCGACTGTCGACATGTTAGCGACTCGTTCCGCTGCTGCTCAGACGGTCGAAACGGTGTTTGGGGTTCGCCCAGTGCGCGCTGTTCAATATTATACGGCGCTTCGGACAAATATTTCGTTGAGTGCACAATACATTATAAACACTTGACCTAGCAAATATGAAACCGATGTAGGTGACAAGGAAAGGCTCAAGAAATACATAATTAAGTTTTTTGGTATGTTTTTGAAATGTCTGTCTTGCTCATTTCAAAACTAGTTCACGAAATAACAATAATCTCATCACCACGGGACACAAAACTACACGACAAACCGCCTCGCTTATGTACAGGCCACCTTCACAGAGTTGGAAAATATCGGCGTAACACAACAGTCTATAAAATCAGATTTGTATCTCGCCGACCATATACATATAAACAGTAATGCAGTCTTTCCGAATTCTGGTACCCTTGACAAAAAAACACACCCAATGCACACAGTCTGACCTGTGCAACAGACAGATTGCCAGTAGACTGCAGGTGCCAATATCCCACCATACTGGTGTGTAGGTCCCCCAGAGGGTAGAGGGGCGGTCCCGTTATTGCAGTTGATCCGCTGCCGTTCTATAGCACACCCTTGTTTGTCGCTCTCACCTCTTGCTCCAAGGCTGTACTGAATGACAAAGTCCATGGGTGTATAGTAATTCAATCCTTATAATAAGCAACTCTAGAAAAACGGACAGTGAGGACGCAAGTCTCTTATCAGCAAAACTTGTTCTTATTATTTATATAATTTAGAAATTATGATTTGAAAAGTAACTATTGCATTTAGAGCCTTGTGCAAGTATATAGCGTAACCTACTGTTACGTACAACGCATGTAGCATCACGGCCAGTGCCTTCGTGAATGGACTCTGGCGCATTATAAATAGACTTATTATTATTAATTATTATTATCGTTATTAATAATAGCATGGTCAGCAATGATCACGGGGTATATTGGCAGCTGATAGTTGATGTTCTCCGCAAGTCCTTCATCCTTATGTAGACTCCGCCTCCGGTGTGACCCACAGAGTGGCTGCCCCTGCCCCGCAATCCACCCTCTGCGTATGGTTAATGGCACAATTCAAATTTACGAGGCGTTCATGTAAGTGTAAATGTTACACTAGTTGATCGATTACTCAAGGTGTTTCATCAAAATGAAGCAAGTGCGCCACACATCCGATATTGCCGATTCCAACAAGACAGCTCCGAATGACGGCCAGATAAAATGGGAACTGTTCAGTCACACGTTACGTGAACTGTCAAAGTGATTATAGAAGCTCTTCGATTAATTTAGCATCGGTCGAATTGCCTCACAGAGTTTATTCGCGTATCACGCGTTACAGTGTTACAGATTAATTATAAACAAATTCAATACATAAGTAACTATGTAACGCCAAACCATAGGGCTTATGAGACACGATGAAAACATGTGATACATTAATACATATTGATACATATACGTAGTACACCAAGATTGCTGACTAACAGTCGACGGCACGCAAGGCCCCCCTGGAAACACAGCCCTGCTTGCTGCGACCACATGCTGAACAATGTGACTCCATACCACACAGACATGTTGGCAACTGGTCCTGACGAGCACGCTAAAATCGACAAACACACGTTCCCATCAAAGCCACTGGGTTCCGATGTGGTTTCAAAATGTACCAGGCAAATCGGGATAAGGCTGCCACAGTCATCGTCCCCCAGCCTGAGGGTTGTCGCGTGTGGCCCGACCATGTGATATGCTGCAAGGGAACTGTACACGGAAATTGTCATCAAGTGCAATTTACAACTCATGGTATATAGAGTGTACAATTTTACCGAACACATGTAATTAATGTCAATTTATTATCGAGATGAGTTATAATAACATGAGTGACATGTGATGGGCGGGAGTGAAAATACATGGAGTTAGGAAGCTGTAAGCCATCACGTGACTTACTTTCATTATATTTAATTAACGAGCCCTTCATATTGCCTCTATTCAAGGTTCGCTTCTCTGTGCGCAACAGGCGACGGTCGTCACATGTAAGGCAAGCAACAGGGCGCTGACGATCCTCAACTCAGGAATGTTCCCCTCGCTTTCCCACGACCTGTGTTTGTGCTGTGATTCACAGGACCGTCACCTCTGACCCCAACTCGTGTCGAAAACGTGGCCGCGGCGTCAGACCCTTGATGGTCATTGAAATTCGGCAGCTGGGTGAAATACGAGCTGGGTTGGAGTGTGGGAGCGAGGGGAATCTCTCCTCGCTCCTGTGACGGAATTTAAAGGGATTTAGCTGCCTGTCGCACGGTAATAATTTAAGACCGTGAAACTGTCCACGTCCTGGTCCCGAAACATCATCTGATCTGTGCCTTCGTAAGGGGAAGTTGTGGGTGGGGTATCGACACTCGGTGATTCTCGGTGACGGTCGTTAGGAATACCTAATAACTGGGAGGGTAACCTTCCGTCGGGCAACAGTCAAGAGAGAGAGAGGTCGGGGGAGGTAACCTACAGTCGGGAGAGAGGTGGTGATGGGAAGAGTAACACTTCTACCCCGACCTATAATCCCCTCTCAACCGAGTGTCAGGCAACCCTCCCGTACACTCCTCCCCCCCCCCCCCCCCCCCCCCCCCCCCCCACCTACTGCCAGGCAACCCTCCCGTACACTCCTCTCCACCTTCTGTCAGGCAACCCTCCCGTACACTCATCTCCCCCTACTGTCAGGCAACCCTCCCGTACACTCATCTCCACCTTGTCAGGCAACCCTCCCGTACACTCATCTCCCCCTATTGTCAGGCAACCCTCACGTACACTCCCCCCCCCCCCCCCCCCCCCCCCCCCCTACTGTCAGGCAACCCTCCCGTACACTCATCTCCCCCTATTGCCAGGCAACCCTCCCGTACGCTCATCTCCCCCTACTGTCAGGCAACCCTCCCGTACACTCATCTCCCCCTACTGTCAGGCAACCCTCCCGTACTCTCCTCTCCCCCTATTGTCAGGCAACCCTCCTGTACACTCCTCTCCACCTTCTGTCAGGCAACCCTCACGTACACTCATCTCCCCCTACTGCCAGGCAACCCTCCCGTACACTCCTCTCCACCTTCTGTCAGGCAACCCTACCGTACACTCCTCTCAACCTTCTGTCAGGCAACCCTCACGTACACTCATCTCCCCCTACTGCCAGGCAACCCTCCCGTACACTCATCTCCCCCTACTGCCAGGCAACCCTCCCGTACACTCCTCCCCCCCCCCCCCCCCCACCTACTGCCAGGCAACCCTCCCGTACACTCCTCTCCACCTTCTGTCAGGCAACCCTCCCGTACACTCATCTCCCCCTACTGTCAGGCAACCCTCCCGTACTCTCCTCTCCCCCTATTGTCAGGCAACCCTCCTGTACACTCATCTCCCCCTACTGTCAGGCAACCTTCCCGTACACTCATCTCCCCCTACTGCCAGGCAACCCTCCCGTACACTCCTCTCCACCTTCTGTCAGGCAACCCTCCCGTACACTCCTCTCCACCTTCTGTCAGGCAACCCTCACGTACACTCATCTCCCCCTACTGCCAGGCAACCCTCCCGTACACTCCTCTCCACCTTCTGTCAGGCAACCCTACCGTACACTCCTCTCAACCTTCTGTCAGGCAACCCTCACGTACACTCATCTCCCCCTACTGCCAGGCAACCCTCCCGTACACTCCTCTCCACCTTCTGTCAGGCAACCCTCCCGTACACTCCTCTCAACCTTCTGTCAGGCAACCCTCACGTACACTCATCTCCCCCTACTGCCAGGCAACCCTCCCGTACACTCCTCTCCACCTTCTGTCAGGCAACCCTCCCGTACACTCCTCTCCACCTTCTGTCAGGCAACCCTCCCGTACACTCCTCTCAACCTTCTGTCAGGCAACCCTCACGTACACTCCTCTCCCCCTACTGTCAGGCAACCCTCCTGTACACTCCTCTCCCCCAACTGCCAGGCAACCCTCCCGTACACTCCTCTCCACCTTCTGTCAGGCAACCCTCCCGTACACTCCTCTCAACCTTCTGTCAGGCAACCCTCACGTACACTCCTCTCCCCCTACTGTCAGGCAACCCTCCTGTACACTCCTCTCCCCCAACTGCCAGGCAACCCTCCCGTACACTCCTCTCCACCTTCTGTCAGGCAACCCTCCTGTACACTCCTCTCAACCTTCTGTCAGGCAACCCTCACGTACACTCCTCTCCCCCTACTGTCAGGCAACCCTCCTGTACACTCCTCTCCCCCAACTGCCAGGCAACCCTCCCGTACACTCCTCTCCCCCTACTGTCAGGCAACCCTCCCGTTCACTCCTCTCCCCCGACTGTCAGGCAACCCTCCTGTACACTCCTCTTAACCTTCTGTCAGGCAACCCTCCCGTACACTCCTTTCCCCCTACTGCCAGGCAACCCCCCCCTTTACTTTTCTCCACCGACTGTCAGGCAACCCTTCCTTGTGTACCTCTCCACCGACTGTCAGGCAACCCTTCCATGTGTACCTCTCCACCGACTGTCAGGCAACCCTTCCATGTGTACCTCGCCACCGACTGTCAGGCAACCCTTCCATGTGTACCTCTCCACCGACTGTCAGGCAACCCTTCCATGTGTACCTCTCCACCGACTGTCAGGCAACCCTTCCATGTGTACCTCTCCACCGACTGTCAGGCAACCCTTCCATGTGTACCTCTCCACCGACTGTCAGGCAACCCTTCCATGTGTACCTCTCCACCGACTGTCAGGCAACACTCCCATATAAACCTCTCCACCGACTGTCAGGCAACCCTTCCATGTGTACCTCTCCACCGACTGTCAGGCAACCCTTCCATGTGTACCTCTCCACCGACTGTCAGGCAACACTCCCATATAAACCTCTCCACCGACTGTCAGGCAACCCTTCCATGTGTACCTCTCCACCGACTGTCAGGCAACCCTTCCATGTGTACCTCTCCACCGACTGTCAGGCAACACTCCCATATAAACCTCTCTACCGACTGTGAACTTTCTCCCGACTGCCCAGTCACTCTGTCCACTTTTCTGCCCGCTGGGCTATACTCCACATCTGACACACCTGGTTCAATCTACTGCGTCTTGAAGTCCCGCCTTCATTTCGATTCATCACCCTCAACGACTCCTTAACCTGACGACTCCTCACCATAGCCACACGTCATTTCCCCAACTAATCCTCAACGGCTCCTAACCCTCAAGTCCACCTAATCCTCAACGGCTCCTATCCCTCAAGTCCACCTAATCATCAACGGCTCCTATCCCTCAACCCCACCTAATCATCAACGGCTCCCCATCCCTCAACCCCACCTAATCCTCAACGGCTCCTATAAAACAAACCCCACCTAATCCTCAATGACTCCTAACCCTCAACCCCACCTAATCATCAACGGCTCCCCATCCCTCAACCCCACCTAATCATCAACGGCTCCCCATCCCTCAACACCACCTAATCCTCAACGGCTCCTATCCATCAACCCCACCTAATCATCAACGGCTCCCCATCCCTCAACCCCACCTAATCCTCAACGGTTACTATAAAACAAACCCCACCTAATCCTCAATGACTCCTCATCCTCAACCCCACCTAATCATCAACGGCTCCCCATCCCTCAACCCCACCTAATCCTCAACGGCTCCTATCCATCAACCCCACCTGATCCTCAACGGCTCCCCATCCTTCAACCCCACCTAATCCTCAACGGCTCCTATCCATCAACCCAACCTAATCCTCAACGGCTCCTATCCCTCAACCTCACCTAACCCTGAACGGCTCCTATCCCTCAACCCCACCTAATCCTCAACGGCTCCCATCCTTCAACCCCACCTATTCCTCAACGGCTCCTATCCCTCAACCTCACCTAACCCTGAACGGCTCCTATCCCTCAACCCCACCTAATCCTCAACAGCTCCTATCCCTCAACCCCACCTAATCCTCAATGGACCGCCTCCGTGGTCTAGTGGTAGAGCGTCCGCCCGGAGAGCGGAAGGTCCGGGGTTCGATCCCCGACCGCGTCATACCAAAAGACGTTAAAAGATGGTACTTGTTGTTACCCTGTCTGGCGCTCGGCTTTAAGGGGCTAAAACAAGGACTGGTCGGGACACCAGTATACAGGATGTTCACAGATCTTTAAAATTATACAAAGCAATAGAAACCCTGTTTTCAGTAAAGCTAGTCATATAGTCTTATATCCGTGACTTTCCCTGCAGTTAATGTTGTATGTGTTCAAGTTTTGTAATGCAGCTGAAACAAATGACGTGCTAAGTGTTTCCCCCAAGCTAATGGATCAGATATATGTGAATTGTTGTGTTTGTGGTACTTTGGTGAAACGAACAGAAGGTCACGTCTCTGTAAGATGAGATGGATATTGATTGTTTGCGAAGATATACATTGTTGTGTTGTGATTTAAGTTATAATCCTTTGTCTTAGAGCCTGGCTGGCACCGCCATTGCACCGTATATGAAGATCTGTTTAGAAGTTAACAATCCAACACTGCAAGACCCACCATTGACTATACGAAGGCTATATGGCAGCGCCCTGCAAATAACCGAATGTTGGCAAAGCAAACAGGTGGTTGATAACATGAGCAACGTGCCCTGCGTGGGGTAACTGACACTCAACCAGGTGACTCCCAATGTCGTGAGCTTGTAGGGCAAGCACAGCAGAGTTGTGGCCAGTTCTGACCTCAACTGGGGCATGCTGACAAAGAGGAATCATTTACATCAATAACAAGCAATAATAGAAATTAATTCATTAATTCTTCCTTCCCGCAAAATAATTCTTCCAGTTATAAGTTATATAAGTACGTGTACCATTCATATTTGGAACATACAGGTCTACGTACTGACAAAGGTCGAATTCTTTTTTGTTTTGTTTTAAATTCTTACAAACATTGTTAATTACATGTATACTCAACAACAAAAGTTCCCGTGACACCAATATTTTAGTGTATTTTCAAACAAGTAAAGTTTGGTTTTCAATATTGTAGGACATGTATGGAATCAAGTCACAAAAAAACGCAACTGCTACAGAAAAGCATGCATTCCATGCAAAAGTTGACTTTTATGCAAGCCCCATGCTTTCACTACCCAAGAATGGGTATAAAAACATGTGCGTTAACGGGATTCTATATGCATTGTTTAGCATCGTGCTGACAACAACCACTCAGAAAAACAACAAAATTACGCAATTATCCATTACGAAAAGCCACGCCTGTCTGAAAATGAGCGTCTGCGAGCCATTGGTATGCTATGCTTGAAGCAGGATCGAGTCAACGTGATGTTGCAAGACAATTTAACGTCCACAGAAACTCCATTTGGTGTTTATGGCAACGTTGGCAACAGACTAATGCAGTCGGAAACCATCCTCGGAGTGGCAGGCCACGCGTAACCAATAATCGACAAGACAACTGGATTCGAACAACACACCTAAGAAATCGATTCTAGCCAGCAACAGTGACTGCAAGAAGCATCCCTGGCCTTCGACGAATATCTTCACAAACCGTACGTGGTGGCCTCAGATGTGCAGGGATTGTCGCCAGAAGACCCGCCAGACGTCCCATTTTGACAGGAAACCACCGTCAAGCAAGTTCTATTCACTGACGAGTCTCGTTTTCACCTCAGCCACAGCGATGGACGGATTCGGGTGTACCGACGTCGAGGTGAACGTTACGTCAATCATTGTGTCATGGAAGATCGGTTCGGTGGCGGCAGCGTTATGGTATGGGTTGGGATAACAGTAAGACAGAGGACCCGTTTGATAGTGGTAGAGGGAAATCTCAATGGACAGCGCTACCGCGACGAGATCATCGGCCCTGTTGTTCTACCGTTTTTGCGCCGTCATGGCCCAGGAATTACCTTTCAACATGACAACGCCCGGCGTCATATTGCTCGACTTGTTCAGGATTCTCTTCAACAAAACAACGTGAATGTCATCCCCTGGCCGGCTTGCAACCCTGATCTCCCACCAATCGAGCCCATATGGGAAGAGATGGATCGGTCCCTTCGACGCCAACCACGTATTCCACGACACTCCAGGAACTTCGAAACATGCTCCAGCAGATATGGACGGATATCCCACAGGACTTTGTGCGACGCCTGGTCCATTCCATGAGACGAAGATGTGTTGCTTGCATCGCAACTAGAGGTGGACACACACGCTATTGATAATTATGTAAATTGACATTTTGGCATGTTCATGTTTTTTATGAAATCACGCATTTTCTGAAGTCAGTATGGCAAATTAAACCATTTGAAAACTTACAGGAGTCCTTTATCTGTTGCAAATCGAAATTGTTTCAGATTTGGTAAAAGACATAACTTTGCAATAAATCTTATTCAATGTCACAGGAACTTTTGTTGTTCAGTATACGTTTAAATAGACATTGATGAATTGTCACAATGCTTCGGATTATTGATCATAATAATTACTGAGATGCACATAGTGAAGTGTAATGTATTGATCGTGTACCCCTGCAGACTCGTCGGTGTACTCATGCCACCCCAGAAGACGGATTTCTTTATCAACAAAATAAACCAATTTTCTCAGGAAAGGATACACTTTTTTTTTCTTTTTTTTCCGGGACGCGTGTCACCGAAGATAGAAGATCAAATGTCGTAAGAATGAGATCACGCGAGACTTTACAACTGTCTAAATGACGACGGGATAATATCAACAAAGTAGATAATATAGGAAACATTATATTAAACTAATAGATGAAACGAGAGTCCACCATCACTGTCCCGTGCTATCATGTTATCATATGGCCAGTCAATGGACATTGTCCACTCAATTCGGCCACATGGGAGCAGCTCGTTGAAAGCGTGCGATCTTTTGTTAAAAAAATACCTGTAAAATATCACAAGCTCCCATGAGCAGGTAGAGCGCTTATTGATAAAATAAGGGAGTTTACAGTTACAGGTGGTTCGGTGTTAAGTCGAGGTCTTTGTGCGTCTTCCATGCCGGGAGCGTGTGAACTCTCCCCGTACCCCGGTTCCCAGAGAACACCCGTGAATCTCCTATTTAGCCGGGTAACCTCTCCATACACCGGCAAGTCGGCCCCATTGTTAATACCTCTCAAGCATAACCGTAATCCTCGGCACGTGGGTCAGCGGGCCCACAATGGTGATACACATATTACGCATATAAAGGCACAATGGCTTGGTTTAGAAAATAGATAATTCGATAAAAACTGCAGGTAAAATTATCAAATGTCAGTGTGTTGTGGTTGAAGATAGAGCTTTTAGGCAGCTCAACCTAACTGGAATCCTCCGTATTGTCGTTAATGGTGGATACTGTGTCCCGTCAGCTGTGGGATTCGAGTGTGGCAATATCGTTGTCGTCACGGTGCGAGGTTCACCCGAGGACATACAGACATTGCAACACACAACCCAATAAAGTCTATCTTTGCACGTAACTGTGCTCAAATCACTTTAGAAATCTCTATAGTTACAGACCATCCTGCAAGAGCTTTAAATTTAAAATAACATTCATTCACGCGTAAGTGTCTATACATATATGAGGTAATTAATCTGGCTGATTGTACCTCGTCAACCTGATGACGTGGATCTTTGCTTATGCTATCAACCATCGGGGGAAAAGAAGATCTGGGGCTTTCATTATCCTCCGAATGTAAGTTGGTATTTCGCGTGTCCAAGAACTGATGCCTTTGTCGTCCCCACTTCCACATGTCATTAATACATTGTCCAAGACAACGTGACAGGACATTGTGTTCTCATATACCTGACAATGTGGCATGGCACACATTCTGCAAACATTACTCTACATCTCTATACAAGACATACGTAACGACAGGTGGACATTGACGTGAAAGACGTTACCCGGCCCGTGTTAGGGGTTCCGGTAGACTAACATCTAGTCTCTGAAATGAACATATTTTACAGAAAAAAACAGTTGTTAAATTATAGTTATAAAATATAATAAAAAGGAGCCCAAAGACTTTCTTCATTTTCAGGCCTGATACTGCAGTAATCTAGACTTGCCAAACATTATGGACTGGCATGGGCTGTAGTAGATATATTTGTTCAGGGTCTGTATGACAGACCAGTGTTCCGGTAGCTGTGTCATTCGGCATCCGTGTAATCCCCGGGACGTCAAGCACCATCTCACGTGG